ACGTTGATACATTTGTTGGTAAGCTGGCAACCACTCCTCTTTAACGTGTTTGCGTCCAAAAACTGCAATCTGGACTTGGTGTGTTGGGCTCAGGCATCATCGTGTCCAGCAAGCCCCTAATGGGTTATCTGCCCGTTTTCATCAGTGAAGTGAGAGGAAGAGCCTGCCCTGCGCACCTGTGAGGACCGCTGTGAAGATCAAGGTATCTGTACTCTGCAGGGACAAAAGGCACATCCAGAGAAAACAAGCCCCACTGGTTCCTCAATAACAGGACTGACATACTGCCTGCTGAACCCTCAGTGCCAGGCAGTGAGAAGCCAGGCTGGAAAAGAAATTAGAAGCCTTTTTACAGAATCAGGAGTGAAAAATAAATACTTGGGTGACTTTTGTTTTCATCAAAGACTGAAGCCAAACCTTGGGTTTGAGTTGGGTCTTAGCGTTTCCTGGAAAATCTAATCTTCCTTCTGATTTACATGTGTGGTGGACTCTAGCAACATTCGTTGGAGCTGTGAAACCAGAACAACAGCTATGCCTCCCATGGCCTTTCTCTGGTCAGTCCTGGTACAGTGGGTTTGGAAATGACCTCAGACACTTGTTTTCCATAGTGAATCCCTCAGGGCCCGTCTACAAAAACACTGTTCACAGCAGTTCACTGAGCCGCTTTGGGTGGAAGCCAGGTCCAGGATGTTAGCTTTAGGGCTGCTCAGTGTAGACGTAGGTATTCCTGCTAAAGCAAGAGGAATGGGCAGTGGTGGTCTGCAATTCTGCCATGTTTAAATCTGTGTTTATAATAGAGAAGAAGTGATGCGATTATTGAATATGAAGAGTTTGGACAACCACCAGGTACCCTGCCTTTTATTTTATTTTTAGATCCATTTTAGATGGTCGTGTAGTAGCTAAAAGTGGTAATCAATGTACACACACATCCCCCTGACATAAACAAATCAGCTTTAAAATACTTGACTCAGTTACTCACATGTTTGGGAGTTTGATTCAGTTTTATTTCCTCTTTATTCTGCGTAAATAATATACAATCTTAAATTTCATCTTTTTTTTTTAATACTGAAAATTAATGCGTATCCAACATAGAGCAATATTTTGAAAATAACAGTTATAAAAAGTATTTACTTCAGTTTAGAAGAGAGTTTGGATGCCTTAAGAGCCATAATAAATCTGATTTTAAAAAAAAGACATTATGAAGTTTGTTAGTGTCCCAGTCGTATGTATATGTACTAATAATGAATGCAAGCAGCAGGCATGAGTTTGACATGTAACCATTCTCTAATAAATTTATGATTCTAGATTAAGAAGACTGTAAAGAAGGTATGAAGTTTTTCTTTCTTCTAGTGTATCTATGGAGAATAAGGCC